AGCAGCAGCTATTAGTGTCGTCACTCAATGATGAAACTAATAGCAGCTGCGTAGGAGAATAATTCAGGGTTTACATGAAAAATTATCATCATTACATTATCATCATTACAATCTTAAAAATGAACTAGCATGCAGTTTAATCAGTTACAATGATATTAGTCAAAGTTCATTCCTGGCCAGAAGAAAACCTTTTTTGTCAAAGTTGTTTCAGGTTTTGGYACCTGTTTTGATCCAAGACCTCCCTGAGAATTCACTTTATTGATAACTCTTGTCATCATACTTTCAACATCTTCAACACGAGCAAAATTTCTGAACACCTCTACCAGGCTTCTGATGAACCGGCTTCCAGTGGTTGTATTACGATAAGAGGAATATCCTTCAACGCTGGAGAATGCCATAAGCTGGTCTGCATGCTCACTAGTACTTGGACCCTTGGGTGGATTTTCTGGTGGTTTTTGCGGTTCTTCATGTTCCGTTGGGTTACTACTTGGCCCATCCCTTACTATAGTTCCAGTGTCTGAAAGCTTTCCTCTACAAGCCTGAATGAAGTATAACTTGGGCTTGCCAGATAGTGTCTTGCAGTGGACATTRTTAAACTTTTGAACCACAGTCTTTATTGTTATCTTTTTGCCATCTCTGGTGTAAAAATATTCGTCCTTGCCATGGCTCATTATACAAAGTATGAAGCAATCATAGCTCCCGAAATCAGATCTTGAAATCTTTTCCAAAGCTTTCAAGAGTTCATCTTTACCCAAATCAACTAGAGATTGTGTCTTGAAATCTAAGGCAGTAAACAAGTCAATCAGTGAGTTCTCGTCTACTTTTGAGCCATCTCTTCTTACTAGTTCTTCATTAGATTGTAGATCTGTATCAAAACTATCGATGTTGATGATCACTGCAAGACCTTTGGGGCTGCTGGTCATCCTATAAACAGATTCCAATTTAAGTGGCCTATAGAGCGGTGATATCAATTCCATTTTCGTCGGTTYGACAAAATTTGTACAATTCTGTGACAGTGTTGCTTGGCAATAAGCGCTTGAATCCATCCTTCCATCAAATGATCCTGAGATAGAACCAGTGGTTGGAGCAGGGGTATTTATATCATTTTCTGTTGGATTACAATGTAGTCTTTGCATCATCTCCATTATGTCCTCATAATGACGTAAATGATTATTTTCAGGTACATTTCCTGGAATAGAATAATTGATATTAAAGCATTATTAAAATTGTACAAAAATCTCTAACAAATTACAATCCAGGAAAAAATTGAGGTGTTAGGAATATATGTTATTCTCATATCAATGCTGTTTCAACATTATGTTGTTCTGCACCAACAGGTGACTGACTAGTATATAGCCTCCCATACATGTGAATATACATTTATGTTTCCACATAAATATGAGGCTAGTCAATTGCTAGTCAAAAGAATAGTCATTCAAATTGGTCGCCTTATTTCAATTTGGTGTATTTAACCTCGTATTGTGTAGTTCCAGATAAATCTTATCATCCACACACCCCTGGAACTATACATTACACTAAAATTCAATATCTCAAACGTCACTCGACACTATAAACATCGCTCCATACATTTAAAAAAAAAATAACTTCATGTTTTACTTTAATTCTATTAAGCCCAAAGGTCCGCTTAGGCACGTTCATATCTTGTGGATAGAATCATTTTATAGTATCTTTTCTTCAATACTGAGTATAAAACTAGAAGATATTTTGATTACAAAATACAAAGAAATGTATGAAGGGATGATAAGTGTTGAGTGTATGACGTCA